ATAAAATTTTTCTAAATTCCCCATAATTTTTTTTTCCAAATTTTTATTTATTTTTACTATTTTCTTGTTCAATTTCATAAAATTTTTAAAAATTGCTTTAATTTCAAAAATTTCCCTTTAAGGAAATTTTCTATATTAAACAATTTCAAACGAAATTTGATTAATTTTTACTATTATCTTATCCGTTTGTCTAAAATATTTATAAATTTCCCTTGATTTAAAAAAAATTTACTTCAAGGAAAATTTCCCCATTCCAACTTTCAAAAAACGCCGGTTTTGTTCTTCTATTTTTTGCACTTTCATTTAAGCAACAGCTTTTAAAAAGGAAATTTCCGCTAGAAAACTTAAGGTTAAGTTTCAATAACTACTTCTTAATAATGTAATAAACAATACAAATATAAAATTGTATACCACAATGTTTACTGGGTTTTAATTTTATCGAAACAAAAAAACCAACTGCATTTGACAACTTTTCACTTGAAAATCATTCAATAATAATAATATGAAAATGCTCAATATTTTCAAGAGTTTATATTAAACGTTTACACCTTTTTTTAGTTAAACAATTATAAAACAACAAAAATATTAATTAACTACATAATTCCATATCTTATTTTCATCATTAATGATGATAAGATTATAAAGGGATTATTTTTGGCTTTTAAGTAGGTAAAATTAATTTTTCACAATACACACTTACACTTTTTTCCAGCTAGTTATGGGGTCAATGTTTAAAAGACATTTTTCATTAAGTTTGAATAATTAATAAATTTTAATCGATTTTAGTAGGAAATGTCAAATAATACTTCCAATGTTTTTATTTTCTTTTGCGGCTTGTTTTGTTTTAAATTAATCTCTTTATTGCAATTTTTATACCTTATTTATGTTTGTAATTAATTTTTATATATTTTTAGCAAAAAGTTCACAATTTTATCACGCTGTAAAGGTGCGAAGTTCGCTTTGTTGAGAAATAACAATAAAAAAAAAGAAATTTGTTTAAATCAAATAAAATGTCATGTTAGTTATAGATGCCAAGGCAAAAGGGAATATTATGGAATGGAATGCGGTATTTGTTTACATTTTTTTCGAAATAGAGATGCCAGAGGTTGTGTTTTTGATGTTTTTGTTTTTTTGCAACGGCAACTTGGTTGTTTTAATAGTTAGGGTTTTTAGAAAAGCAGTTATTTTTAAACTCGTCATTCAATAGATATGGGGATATTATATATTATTATTTTTTAATGGAAAATTATTAAATGTCAAGGGAAATTCAAGTTATTGTAATTTTGAACAAATCCTTAATACAATTTTCCTTTTTTGGAGTAAAACATATTGACTTTTTATACCTCTTGTAAAAATTGATAAATTTTCTATAGAAAATGTGAAGCTCTTGTTAAGAGCGATTGATTTTCTATAGAAAATGTGAAGCTCTTGTTAAGAGCGATTGATTTTCTATAGAAAATAAGAAGTTATTAAAAAAAGTGTGATGACTCTCTATAGAAAACGATTGATTTTTCTATAGCAAATGTGAAGCTCCTGTAAAGAGAGAACTATTTCCTTTAGAAAATATGATTGATTTTTTATAGAAAATGTTCTAAAAAATGATTGCATTTCAATAGCAAATGTGAAGTTGTTATAAAAAACGAATGATTTCCTTTAGAAAATATGAAGTTCTTGTAAAGAGTGAGAGATTTTCTATAGAAAATGTGAAGCTCTTGTAAAGAGCGAACTATTTCCTTTAGAAAATATGAAGTTCTTGTAAAGAGTGAGTGATTTTCTATCGAAATGTGAAGATGTTCTAAAAAACGATTGCATTTCTATAGCAAATGTGAAGCTGTTGTAAAGAGCGAATGATTTCCTTTAGAAAATATGAAGTTCTTGTAAAGAGTGAGAGATTTTCTATAGAAAATGTGAAGCTTGTGAAAATGGAGATTGATTTTCTATAGAAAATGTGAAATTGTTGAAACAGCGATTGATTTTCTATAGAAAATTTGATGTTCTTGTAAAGAGCAATTTATTTTCTTTAGAAAAAGTGAAGTTCTTGTAAAGAGCCATTAATTTTCTAAGGAAAATATGAAGTGTTTGATTTTCTATAGAAAATGTGAAACTGTTGTCAAGAACTTTTGACTTCTAAAGAAAATTTTTAAAATTGTATTGTTTACTTAAAATGAAAAAAAAATCTTTTAATTTTTTTTTTAAATCTTTAATTATTTTATGCGTTTTTAATTTGAAGTATATAGTATATGAATAAAATAAAATCAAAATTGTTTTGTTGTTGTTTTGTTTTATAACCGTAATTTCGACAAAAATAACCTAACATTTTCTTAAAGAACTTAAACATAATCTTAAATTGAAAAATTCAATTTTTTTATTTTATTTTTTATTATTATTATTATTATTATTATTATTTTTTTTTTTTTTGGTTCAAATACACATCTTGTCCAAACATTTATATGAGGGGGGAGTTTTCTTTATTTTTATTATTATATATTTTTGTTTATGAAATAAAGTGCAATCATTTTACAATTTTTTTCATTTTATTTTTCCTGTTCGCTTGTTTGTTTGCTTTAATTATTTTTTTATATCCTTTTTTTTATTTATTTTAAGGGATTTAATTAATTTGTTTTTATTACTTATATAGTTAATGTATATAGAATCGTGTGTGTTATATAAGATGTAGGTATAGTTTATGCGGTTTTACTTTATTTTGTTTATATAACTTTCTATAAAAAGGTAAACATTTTTTTATTTTATTTCTTTTAATATTCACTGCTGCTGCACATTTTATGTTTTCTTTTCTTTTTTTGGATTTATTATAATTTTTTATTTTTACTTTAGTTATTTTTTAAAAGGGGGAGGTTTTATTTTTTTATAGTTTTTTTTTTTCTTATATTTTTTTTTGTTATTTTAAAGAGAATTTCTAACAACTCTGTATATACGAATTTTGCTTAATTTTTTTTTATATTTTGTTTTTAAATTTCTGTTTAATGTTTAGCGTAGAGATGGTAGTGCCTAAAATAGTTTTTTAGAAGTTCAACCTTAACAGTTGCTGGTGATTTATTTTTGGATTTATTTAACTGCTCTTTAGAGAATAATAGTTGCGTTTTTTTCTAAGACATTTAAAACTTAAGTTGAACTTCTTTTATTTTTATGCTAAAAATTTGTTTAATTTGTTATTTAGCGATAAAAAAATAAGGTTAAAATGTTTATTTTATGTTAAGTTTTTTAAGTTTTATAAAAGTTTTTAAATTTTTTACACCAGAGAGGCTCTTTTTAAAGAGAAAAACTTTTGCTATAGAAAATATGGAACTCTTTTAAAAAGAGAACATTTTTCTAAAGAAAATTTTAATCTCTTTAAAAGAGATAACCATTTTCTATCTAAAAATTTACTTTCTTATAAAGAGAGACCAATATTTTATAGAAATTTTACTCTCTCATAAAGACTGAAACAATTTCTATCTAAAAATTTACTGTCTTATAAATAGAGACACCTTTTCTATAAAAAATTTGACTCTCCTATAGAGAGAGATAAATTAACCATAGAAAATTTTACTCTCTTATAAAAAGAGAAAAATTTTCTTTAAATAATTTTACTTTCTTATTAAGAGACAAATGTTCTTTTGAAAATTTTACTCTATTATAAAGAGAGAACAATTATCTATAGAAAATGTTAATCTCTTATAACAAGAGAACAATTTTGTACAGAAGAAAATTTTACTCTCTTATAAAAGAGACACAATTTTACACTCTCATAAATAGAAAACAATTTTCTATAGAAAATTTTACTCTCTTAAAAAGAGAGACCATTTTTCTATAGGAAATTTTACTCTCTTATAAAGAGAGAACCATTCTCTATAGAAAATTTTACTATATTATAAAGGAGACAAATTCTTTATAGAAACTTTAACTCTATTTTCCAAAGAAAATTTGACTCTCTTAAAAGAGAGAATAATTTTCTATAAAAAGATTTACTTTCTTATAAAAAGAAAACTCTCTTATAAGGAGAGAGTAGATTTCTTTACAAAATCAGATAGACTCAGTATAATCCGTAGTATAGTCTAATCTATAGTGTAGTTTATAGTCTGGTCTAAAGTCTAGTCTGGTCTATAGTTTTGTCTAGTCTATAGTCGACTTTATACTCTAGTCTATAGTCTATTATACAATCTAGTCTATAGTCTAATCTATAGTTTAGTCTATAGTCTGGTCTATAGTTTATTATATAGTCGACTTTATATTCTAGTCTATAGTCTAGTATATAGTCTATTCTACAGACTAGTCTATAGTTTAGTCTATAGTCTAGTATGTAGATTAGTCTATAGTCTAATCTATAGTTTAGTTTATAGTCTAGTTTATTATCTAGTCTATAGTATATTCTATAGTTTAGTCTGTAGACTAGTCTAGTCTATAGTCTAGTCTTTAGTCTAGTCTATAGTTTAGTCTATAGTTTAGACTATAGCCTAGTCTATTGTCTAGTCTATAGTTTAGTCTATAGTCTAGTCAATAGTCTAGTATATAGTCTAGTCTATAGTTTAGTCTATAGTCTACTTTATTGTCTAGTCTATAGTATATTCTGCAATCAAGTCTTAGTCTATAGTCTAATCTATTGTCTACTCTATAGTTTAGTCTATAGTCCAGTCTAATGTCTAGTCTATAGTATAGTCAACAGTCTAGTCTATGTTCTAGTCTATAGTCTAGTCTATAGTCTAGTCTATTGTCTAGTTTATAGTTTAGTTTATAGTCTAGTCTATAGTCTAGTTAATAGTCTTGTTTATAGTCTTGTTTATAGTCTAGTCTATAGTCAAGTTTATAGTCGAGTCTATAGTCTAAAATCTAAAAAAAGTACTATTTTTGTTATAAGTTAGTATAATTTTAAAATTTCAATTATCCATGCCTGATATAAATACGATTTTCTCTTAAATTTTAACTTAAAAAACCGACACAAAATAAACATTTTCTTTTCATAAAGAAAACTAACATTTGTTATAATAATAAAAACAGATTTCTTTTGTTTGTTTTTTTTTAGTTTTGTTTAAATCAATATATAATAAACATTATTTATAAAGACTTTTGCTTTTGTGTAACCAATTAGTTATTTTTGTTGTTGTTTAAGCCATCATCAAAGCATATTGAATTCGTCGTTAAAAACGTGTTTTTGTGAAAAAAACAATTAATTATTAAGTTTATATTTAACAACATAAAATCATTGTAATTACATACGTTTTTTTTTTTTTCTAAAAAAAAGAAGTTAAATGAGAGCAATATCCGTTTAACGGATAAAAAAATTAATTCCTTTTTTAACGCCAACTTATATTTAACAAAAAATATATATATAAACTATAGCTTTATATTAAAAAACAAAAGTTTAATTAAAGGGTCAGCAAATTCAATATACTTTAGATAATTAAAAAATTAAAAAAAAGTGTTTAAAACAATACATTTTTGTGTGTTTAGGTGTGTTGTAGTTTAGATTAAAAATTAATTAATAACGTTACAATTTAAACGTTCAAAATGTTTGGGGAGGAAATTATAATTAAAATAGAGAATTAATGAAAAAAAAAAAATTGTTAAAAAAAGAAAACTGGGGCAGGTAAAAGTAGAATCTATAGAAATGTAATTAAAGTTAAAACTAAATTACCAGGGCTTAAGCGCAAAGAAAAAAAGATGTATGAGAGAACATTAATGTTGATTGAAGGCTCCACTTTACAGTGAGTGTTAAGAGGCGGGGAGGAGTCGGTGTTGGATGATAATGCTTTTGATGCCGTTGATGTAGTATGTGTGTTGGTGTGTGTAGGGTGTATAGTAAATTTTGTAAAATTAAAGCGTACATAATAAAACATAAATGTAATTTTTTGTTGGTTTTCATATTTTTTTGTTGTTTTTTTTTTCTTTTGTTATATATAATGATGATAATTATTTGTCAACAACACTAGCCGTAGTTGTAGTTGTTTTTTTTTTCTTTCTTTCTTCTTTTACTTATTCTTTTTTACGTTTTCTTGTTGTTGCTGTTGTCATACACATCAGAGTACTTCAACTTTTGGCCTTTTGGCACCAGCATCACATTCATCATCACCTGATTCCATATTACCACTATAATCTGTGGGCATTTCCTCATAGATAATGTCTGGATGTAGACCTTGTAGATTTTGTTGATGATGTTGCTGCTGCTGTTGCAAAGTTACCACCGTATTACCACCACCACCACCAGTACCAGCAGCCATTGCATGATTACGTTTGAGAGCAATTAAAGCACCTACACCACCACCTCCGCCGCCGCCACCACCACCACCTATTTCCTGTTGATGTTGTTGTGTTATAATCGTATTTTGATTTGTTATATAATAGGGGCTGCTGCTGTAAGTAAACAAGTGAAGTGAAAGAAATGATGTTAGTAAATGAGAGAGTAAGAAGAGATTTTTAAAATTTACCTGAATTGTTGGGTATTATTAGCGCTGGATTGTTGAATATTCTGATTTTGATAAATAATTTCTGTAAAGAAGATAAATAATTATAAAGAGAATCAATTTTTTTTAAAGAAAATTTACTCTCATTATAAGAGGCAGATATTTTCTATAGTAAGTTATACTCTCAAGTTCAGATCTAGTTCAATTCTTGTTCTGTACTAGTTCAGTTCCAGTTTAGTTTTAGTTTAGTTCTAGTTCAGTTCTAGTTCAGTTCTAGTTCAGTTCTAGTTCAGTTCTAGTTCAGTTCTAGTTCAGTTCTACTTCAGTTCTAGTTTAGTTCTAATTCAGTTCTAGTTCAGTTCTAGTTCTGTTCTACTTCAGTTCTAGTTTAGTTCTAGTTCTGTTCTACTTCAGTTCTAGTTCATATCTAGTTCAGTTCTAGTTCTAGTTCAGTTCTAGTTCAGTTCTAGTTCAGTTCTAGTTCAGTTCTATTTCAGTTCTAGTTCAGTTCTAGTTCAGTTCTAGTTCAGTTCTAGTTCAGTTCTACTTCAGTTCTAGTTCAGTTCTAGTTCAGTTCTAGTTCAGTTCTAGTTCAGTTCTAGTTCAGTTCTAGTTCAGTTCTAGTTCAGTTCTAGTTCAGTTCTAGTTCAGTTCTAGTTCAGTTCTAGTTCAGTTCTAGTTCAGTTCTAGTTCAGTTCTACTTCAGTTCTACTTCAGTTCTAGTTCAGTTTTAGTTCAGTTCTAGTTCAGTTCTAGTTCAGTTCTAGTTTAATTCTAGTTCAGTTCTTGTTCAGTTCTAGTTCAGTTCTAGTTCAGTTCTAGTTTAGTTCTAGTTTAGATTAAGTTCAGTTAGAAAATAACACTCTCTTATAAAGAGTAACAAATTTCTGGTGAAAGCCATTTTATTTAAGAAATTATAACTTATTTTTATCTCACACTCACCATTATCAACATTACGATTTTCCAAAGACATGCCTGGTGAACCAGGTGCTGATTGTAGAACAATATCTTGTAGCGGTGAACTTTCACGTGAATTATCAGCCGAATATTCTACAATTAGCAAAAAAGTAAACAAAAAACATAAAAAAAACACAAACAAAATTAACAACAACCAAAAAAAAAAAAAAAAGTTGGAAGAAAAAGAAAAAAACAAAATGAAATCACACAATGAAAATTAAAATAAATTTATGCAATGCAGAAGAAAAAATATTACACACCAAAATAAGTATAATTACCCATGTGACTTGGTGAAACAGGTGCTGAACGTGGCATGCCATACGATGGGCGAAAACCTTGGCTACTGCGTTGGCGACGTTTCTTATAGCTATGATCTATTAATTTGGCGCCACTATCAGGATCAATGCGCCAAAAGCTACCCTTGCCGGGTTCATCTTGAGAGCGTGCAACTTTTATGAAATACCTGGGAAAATAAACAAAAATGTAATGCAATAATTAGAATAATTGTTTTAGTTTTTGTTTTTCTTTCTTTACAAACCTATTTAAACTGAGATTATGACGTATGGAATTTTGCCAACCCTTATTAGTTTCTTTACGATAATAAGGATAATGTTTAACAATAAATGAATAAATGCCCGACAATGTCAATTGTTTATCTGGTGCTGCGGATATAGCCTGTACAATTAATTGAGCATAACTGTAAGGTGGTTTCTCATTATGATTATAACTGGCCGTTGAGGGCGTTTGGAATAAATCTTGTTGCTGCAAATAAATGGAATACCATAAATAAATAAAGTTTTATTTAAAAAATTGTGTTTGTGTTTTTACTTACATTTTGTAAATTATTATTACTATAATTATTATAATTATTTTGATTCTGATGAAAACCTTGACGCGGGCTAGCCGGACAACTATTGGCTGCACTTATTGTACCTAAAGGGGAATAAGTTAAAAGTTTTTTTTTTATTATTAGAGCATTAGTTTTATTTAGGGATGTTTTATTTTAGTTTGATGTGGGGTAAATGTATGGATTTTTGTGTTTTTTTATTGTTCTATTTAATGATTTTATTGTTTTTGTTATTATTTTTCCCACTCTTCGTTTTTGGGGAAACTAAGTAGAGGTATGTAGTTTTATTGCTGGTTTTATGTACTTTTGTAAAGTAGCAAATCAATTTATTCAAAATTTTGTATAAGAACTAAATGGGGAGAAGGTGAAGTTTAATAAACTTTGAAATTTATCTGTTGTTTTGTAATTTGATTCAAAATAAATCGATTTTGAAAAATTTTACTATATCTTAATAAATGAGTGTTGTTTCTATGGAAAATTTCGTGCTCTTTATAAGATATTGCTATTTGTATATGAGATCGACATTTTCTTTAGAAACTTTTGAGAGCGACATTTTCTATAGAAGAGAGCAACATATTGTATAGAAAATTTTACTCTCTTTATTAAAGGACAATATGTTTTAAAGACAATTGTATTCTTTTTCGTTTAAGAGAGTGAATTCTGTGCTAGTTCAGTTCTGGTTCAGTTCTGATTCAGTCCTAGTTCAGTTCTAGTTCAGTTCTAGTTCAGTTTTAGTTCAGTTTTAGTTCAGTTTTAGTTCAGTTCTAGTTCAGTTCTAGTTCAGGTATAGTTCAGTTCTAGTTCAGTTTTAGTTTTAGTTCTAGTTCAGTTCTAGTTCAGTTTTAGTTCAGTTCTAGTTCAGTTCTAGTTCAGTTTTAGTTCAGTTTTAGTTCAGTTTTTAGTTCAGTTCTAGTTCAGTTCTAGTTCAGTTTTTTGTAGTTTTCAGTTCTAGTTTCTAGTTCAGTTCTAGTTCAGTTCTAGTTCAGTTCTAGTTCAGTTCTAGTTCAGTTCTAGTTTCAGTTTCTAGTTCAGTTCTAGTCAGTTTTAGTGTTCAGTTTTAGTTTAGTTCTAGTTCAGTTCTAGTTCAGTTCTAGTTCAGTTCTAGTTCAGTTCTAGTTCAGCTTCTAGTTCAGTTCTAGTTCAGTTCTAGTTCAGTTCCTAGTAGTTCTAGTTCAGTTCTAGTTCCAGTTCCTAGTTCAGTTCTAGTTCAGTTTTCTAGTTCAGTTCATTAGTTCAGTTCTAGTTCAGTTCTAGTTCAGTTCTAGTTCAGTTCTAGTTCAGTTCTAGTTCAGTTCTAGTTCAGTTCTAGTTCAGTTCTAGTTCAGTTCTAGTTCAGTTCTAGTTCAGTTCTAGTTCAGTTCTAGTTCAGTTCTAGTTCAGTTCTAGTTCAGTTCTAGTTCAGTTCTAGTTCAGTTCTAGTTCGTTCTAGTTCAGTTCTAGTTCAGTTCTAGTTCAGTTCTAGTTCAGTTCTAGTTCAGTTCTAGTTCAGTTCTAGTTCAGTTCTAGTTCAGTTCTAGTTCAGTTCTAGTTCAGTTCTAGTTCAGTTCAGTTCTAGTTCAGTTCAGTTCTAGTTCAGTTCTAGTTCAGTTCAGTTCTAGTTCAGTTCAGTTCTAGTTCAGTTCTAGTTCAGTTCAGTTCTAGTTCAGTTCTAGTTCAGTTCTAGTTCAGTTCTAGTTCAGTTCTAGTTCAGTTCTAGTTCAGTTCTAGTTCAGTTCTAGTTCAGTTCTAGTTCAGTTCTAGTTCAGTTCTAGTTCAGTTCTAGTTCAGTACTAGTTCAGTTCTAGTTCAGTTCTAGTTCAGTTCTAGTTCAGTTCTAGTTCAGTTCTAGTTCAGTTCTAGTTCAGTTCTAGTTCAGTTCTAGTTCAGTTCTAGTTCAGTTCTAGTTCAGTTCTAGTTCAGTTCTAGTTCAGTTCTAGTTCAGTTCTAGTTCAGTTCTAGTTCAGTTCTAGTTCAGTTCTAGTTCAGTTCTAGTTCAGTTCTAGTTCAGTTCTAGTTCAGTTCTAGTTCAGTTCTAGTTCAGTTCTAGTTCAGTTCTAGTTCAGTTCTAGTTCAGTTCCGTTCAGTTCTAGTTCAGTTCTAGTTCAGTTCTAGTTCAGTTCTAGTTCAGTTCTAGTTCAGTTCTAGTTCAGTTCTAGTTCAGTTCTAGTTCAGTTCTAGTTCAGTTCTAGTTCAGTTCTAGTTCAGTTCTAGTTCAGTTCTAGTTCAGTTCTAGTTCAGTTCTAGTTCAGTTCTAGTTCAGTTCTAGTTCAGTTCTAGTTCAGTTCTAGTTCAGTTCTAGTTCAGTTCTAGTTCAGTTCAGTTCAGTTCTAGTTCAGTTCTAGTTCAGTTCTAGTTCAGTTCTAGTTCAGTTCTAGTTCTAGTTTCAGTTCTAGTTCAGTTCTAGTTCAGTTCTAGTTCAGTTCTAGTTCAGTTCTAGTTCAGTTCTAGTTCAGTTCTAGTTCAGTTCTAGTTCAGTTCTAGTTCAGTTCTAGTTCAGTTCTAGTTCAGTTGTTCTAGTTCAGTTCTAGTTCAGTTCTAGTTCAGTTCTAGTTCAGTTCTAGTTCAGTTCTAGTTCAGTTCTAGTTCAGTTCTAGTTCAGTTGTAGTTCAGTTCTATAGTTCAGTTCTAGTTCAGTTCTAGTTCAGTTCTAGTTCTGTTCTAGTTCAGTTCTAGTTCAGTTCTAGTTCAGTTCTAGTTCAGTTCTAGTTCAGTTCTAGTTCAGTTCTAGTTCAGTTCTTGTTGGGTTTAAGATAAGTTCTAGTTCAATTCTAGTTCAGTTCTAGTTCAGTTCTAGTTCAGTACTAGTTCAGTTCTAGTTCAGTTCTAGTTCAGTTCTAGTTCAGTTCTAGTTCAGTTTGAGTTCAGTTCTAGTTCAGTTCTAGTTCAGTTCTAGTTCAGTTCTAGTTCAGTTCTAGTTCAGTTCTAGTTCAGTTCTAGTTCAGTTCTAGTTCAGTTCTAGTTCAGTTCTAGTTCAGTTCTAGTTCAGTTCTAGTTCAGTTCTAGTTCAGTTCTAGTTCAGTTCTAGTTCAGTTCTAGTTCAGTTCTAGTTCAGTTCTAGTTCAGTTCTAGTTCAGTTCTAGTTCAGTTCTAGTTCAGTTCTAGTTCAGTTCTAGTTCAGTTCTAGTTCAGTTCTAGTTCAGTTCTAGTTCAGTTCTAGTTCAGTTCTAGTTCAGTTCTAGTTCAGTTCTAGTTCAGTTCTAGTTCAGTTCTAGTTCAGTTCTAGTTCAGTTTTATTTCAGTTCTAGTTCAGTTCTAGTTCAGTTCTCGTTCAGTTCTAGTTCAGTTCTAGTTCAGTTCTAGTTCAGTTCTAGTTCAGTTCTAGTTCAGTTCTAGTTCAGTTCTAGTTCAGTTCTAGTTCAGTTCTAGTTCAGTTCTAGTTCAGTTCTTGTTGGGTTTAAGTTCAGTTCTTGTTGAGTTTAAGTTCAGTTCTTGTTCAGTTCTAATTCAGGTCTTGTTGAGTTCTAGTTCAGTTCTTGTTGAGTTTAAGTTAAGTTCTAGTTCAATTCTAGTTCTTGTTTAGTTTTAGTTCAGTTCTAGTTCAATTCTAGTTCAGTTCTAGTTCAGTTCTTGTTGAGTTTAAGTTCAGTTCAATAAAAAATTTATAAGAGAGTAAAATTAAAAAAAAAAAGCTTTCAAATATCTATTTTTCGTGGCTTTAAAAAAAGAAAATTTTGATTTGAAATAAAGCAATTGAACACAAACTTTATGTTAATTTCGAATAAATACTTTTTCATCACCAAAAAAAATTGATTTCAATCATATAAAAATGAAAATTAAAGAAAAAAATTTCAACTGAAACTAATCTTGGAAAACAAAACAGAGAAAACGTAATAAAAACAAAGGTAAAATAGTAGTTAACAAATACAAAGAATTTGACTTGCCAGTTGGTGATAAATAAGGAGACTTTTGTTCCTTTTTGGGTATAGATATTTTAAGTGGTGAATAAATAACATTCGAATTATCCATAGGTAGTAAATGAGAACCACCTGAAGAGCTTAAATGTTGTTGCTGCTGCTGAGACGATGATATATGCTGCATTTGATGAATGCCACCGCCACCTCCTCCGCCGCCGCCACCATGCAATTGCTGCTGATGTAATTCCTCGGCTGAAGCAGGTGATATAATAACTTGATGAACATTGCCTACACTGCCACCACCATGGCCACTTATAAGATGATGAGAAGAGGCGGATGAGGAAGAAATATTATGATGATGATTGTTATTCAAAGAGTTATTACTCAAATTATTAACACCACCAACAACCACATTTGTGGGTGAATCCGTATGCAAGAAACTTTCAAATTGTATGCGTATCTCAGTGCTGGGAAAACGGAAATAACAACTAAAAGCACAAAGGAGAAAGTTAGAAACATAAAATTAAATTGTTAAGAGGTCAAAGTTAAGTAGCTCACCTTGCTGGCAATTTTAAAGGATCGGCATTGCGCCTCTGCAAGAAATCATCCACAAATATACCATTCTTACTCAAACATTGTACATAGAAATCACGAGTATCGGCATCAAACAGTACTTGAAAATGTTTGCGCGACACTAGATTATTTTCGGCCACATGAAAATGAACATGAGATGTTGATGAATTACGACCGATTATGGTGCAGGCCTCGGTGATGTAAAGAAATTCATCTTCATATTTTAAATAGCCGACAGCATGATCGGGTGGTGGCGGTGGTCTTTGTTGTTGTTGCAATTGAAATTGTTGTAAAGGGGCAGGTGGGGTTGTTGTTGTCGTCGTATTATTGGAATTATTCCGATTATTATGATTTAAAGAGGCAGAAGAGGAATTCGTATTATTGTTGTTATGAGCAGGAGAAGAATTTAAATCATCACTATTGTTGGTAGTATTACTGATGCTATTGTTATTGTTATTGCTGAGAGCTGAACCATGATGCAATTGCAACATATCTTTAGCTATAGCGACAGTGGCAGCGTCGGCCGTAACCGTAACACTGCTGCTGTTGCTGGTATTTAAATTATTGCTGCTTATGGTGAGGCTGTTATTTAAACTGTTGGTGGTGGTGGTGGTGGTGCTGCTGCTGTTGTTGTTGCTGCTCTTGGTGGTTGTTAAAGGACCACTTTTAATAGATGTTGCTGTTGTTGTTGTTAATTTTAAGGTGGTTGTATTACTGTTGTTGTTAAAATTGTTGTTTGTGAGTTTTATATTTGAGTTGTTGTTGTTGCTGCTGCTACTGCTGTTATTTTGGAGTAATTGGGTGGGCGGGATATTAAGGCTTCTATTTGTTGTTGTAGAACCGGTGGCCATGAACTAGTAAGATACTGAAATTGTAATAAAAGTATAGGTTTTTTCAGACTGCTTAGACTATAGATAATATTAATGTTTAGAAAATAAAAACAGAATAGAAAATTAACCAAACTATAGAATATCTTCTAGACTACAATATAGACTAGTGTGTAGACTAAACTATAGACTAGACTATGAACTGGAATATAGACTAGACTAGACTAGACTATAGAATATATTATAGACAGACCTTAGATTAAACTGAATATATGCTTTACTAAGACAACTATAGACTAGACTATAGATTAGGGTATACACTAGACTATATACCAGACTACAATCCAGACTATAGATTAGACTGTAGACTGGTTTGTAGCATGTGTATAATATGGCCTATAATCTAGTCTTTAATTTGATCTTTAGTCTAGACTAAAGTCCAGATTATAGAGCAGACTATAGACTAGACTATAGATACTATAAACTATACTATAAACTAGTCTATTAACAAGACTGTAGCCTAAACTATAGATTAAATTATAAAGCAGACTATAGACTAGACTATTAGATCTAATTTTCCTGAAAAAAAAACTTGTTAAAATAAAACTTAGTATGTAGTTTATATTGTTGGCCTTAAGTCTTCCATTTCAAATTATCCAATTAGAATCTATAAGTTCTTTAATTTCTGTTGGAAATCGTATATCGAAACTGAAAAATAAAAGTTTCTAATTCGATTTTATAACATTTTTGTATTACTATTAAAAATAGACAAGTTTCCTTTGCACGAAACCAAAGCTTCTAAAAATAAAACAAATTTCCGCCGACTCATTTCCGGGCAAAAGGTATACCGGCTATTAGCTTATATAAAAGGTTTCCTTTGCATAAAACTAAACTTATTTTTGGATAAATAGGTATTGATTCTTATTTTTAAAATTTATCATATGAACTATTATTGTTTATTAGCTCATGTATGACCCCAGCAGCTAGACTTTTAGATGATTCATTAAAAATATAATTCCTTTGCGTAAAACTGTACTTTTTTTTGGATAATTATTGGTCCCTGGACGACTTGGACTAATTAGAGTCTAATTGGTTTGGTTGTCTCTGGTGCCTGTAATTATCAAAAATATGACCTTTGACATCTTTCAATAAACTTTTGTAACAAACTATATTAACTAGCCATAAAAAATCCTTAAACACAAACACTAAAAACCTCTAAAATAATTTGTTATTGAAACACAATACACCTTTGACCCTTAAAAGTAAACTATGCGCGACCATATGTCGAACTTTTGCTACACACTGTATAAATTTCCAAAACAATCGCTCAACAAACATTTATTTGCATTACAATAGAAAAATTAATATTATTTCTTTTCGTTTTTTTTTTTTTTCACTTAATCCACGTGGATGTTAAATTGTTGGATGAATGATATATTTTGTTTTTTAGTTGTATTTATAAATAATTTCTTAATATGTACAATAAATAATTTAGGTTACTTGTTGTGTATGCAGCAGCAACCAAACGAGCGGCAGCCACACACAAAACATAACCTTAATTTTTCAACAAAAAAAAATAAAAACTCAACACAAAATTTAATATTAATTACATTATTTACAACAAGTTTGTCTTACGACAATTTAATTAGAAAAAAAACTGCTTTATAAATAAATAAACGAACGCAACGAGTGACGAAAAATAAAAATATGAAAAAAAAAAAATAATAAACACACTGTTGTGACTAAATAAATAAATGAACGCGAAACGAACGAGAGAACAAATGGATAATAATAAAGTTGCTAATGTTTACCTTTTTTTGTATTTCTATTACTTGTTATGTTTTGTGCTGCTAATTCTGATACGGCAAAAAAAATATTAACGAAAAAAGAAGAAACTGATCGTCGTATATTGTTGTTGTTGCGCACTCACACGATTTGCTTGTTGTTTTTAGTTTTTTTTTTTTTATTCAAAATTTTCAAACGTTTAGCAACACTGTTAATTGTTTTTTTTTTTTTTTTCCTTTTTGCGTGTTTACAAATTGTTTGTTTTTGTTTTTTATTTTTCTCTACTCTTTTATGGTTTTTTAGCGGACTTTATTCAAGGTTTTTCAATAACACACAATAAGAATTTTTGTTGTTGTTGTTGTTTTTGTTTTCTATTCTTATTTTCAAGAGTTGTTTATTTTTAAGCGGAATTTTATGTTTTTGTAGTTGTTGCTACTCTTGTTGTTGTTATTGTTTTGTGCTGTCGTGTGTAAATGTAAATGAAATTTACGGTTGTTTTTCTTTTGTTTATTTATTTTCTCTGCTATTCATTCAATCGTTCGCTCACTATCTCACTCTCTCGCTCTATTCCCATTTGTGGACTATTTGTCTCTTTTCCTCTTTTGTTTTTAGGCTTAAAAAACCATATAAAATCGATATCGTGCGTATTTGTTGTTTTTTGCTATTATTATTATAATTTATTATTGGTGGTGGTGTTGTTAATTTGATGTTGTTGTTGTTAATGCTTTTCTCTTGTTATTGCACACTGTAATGTATAAAATGAAAAAAAAAGAGGAAAAAACAATTAAAAACAAATAATATAGCAAAATAAATAATAAAAAATTTTATATTCACATCAGGGATGGCAAATGGAATTTTCAAATTGTGTTTCAAGCATTAAGAATTGTACTTTTTAAATCTGATTGTAACAAATATTTGTTCAATTGTATGCGTTGTGAAACAAACCATTTCAACAAAGTTTCTATAAATCAACTACATACTTTGTTCAACAAAAGTCAAATATCTTGTAAAAAAATCAGAAAAATCAATTCAATATAAAAAATATTAAATTATTATTACAAACGTTCGTATATAATAATAAAATCTGTCTGAAAATAATATTTAAAAAATCAATTCAATAATAGTTCTCTTTTATTAGCAAACATTTTACATTTCAACAAAAACATTAAAAGATAAGTTAAAAACTCGAAAATGTCCAAATGACTATAGTGTAGTCTAGACGGGTCTTAAGACTATAAATAGACTGGTCTATATAATAGCCCAAAGACTAATTTATAAATATTACTCTATATACCTACAACATATAAACTAATCCATAGACTAAATAGAATAGCGCAAAGATTAATTCAAAGACTATATATACTATACTATAAAAAAGTCATTAGACTAGCCCATAAAAAGAACTATATACGCCTATTGAAATTGTATTTTAAATATACCCTTGCACTTTTGTTAGATTATTTCAATAAGGTAAATTTTGAAGCGCAGCATATATCGAATAAAGTACAATTGTATAAATTTTTCCAACCCTGATACAAATACAGTATAATAAAAATACAACTCTGTTTGCCAAGTGTTTTTCTTTTGCTGGTTTATTTTGCTCATCATCAACGTCGTTAAAAATATATATTGTATATAAAAAAAGCCGCTTTGTTTTGTATTCATAGTTTTTTTTGTATAAGACTCCACCTGTATATTTTTTTAGAATGTTTTTCGGCTTTAAAGCGTAAATACAAAAACACAAATAAATATATGTGGCCCGCTTACCCCAACCCTGTGTTTTTTTGTTAAAGGAAATGTTTTCATAAGACCCATTCCTAACCATAACCCCCTGCCAACCCCTTTTTAAGACCCTTGCAGCTATTTAGCAATTTTAGCAAATAAAAAATCCTCCATTAAACAGCCAAAACCAACAAAACAACGACGACGATTGCGTAAAAACTTACCAAGCAGCAAATTAATTTTTCTTATATTTTCAACAATTGTTAACAAAAATACTTGATGCCTGATTATTTACCACAAAACTTTAGCAAACATATAGAATATTTTAATTTCCATTAAAAACTTTAACTTGTTTTTTTGTTTTCAATATATTTTTTTCTGGGCGGCATTTATTAATTTTAACACTATTATTTATTTACCCTTTTTTTCTATTGATTATTATGTTTATTTTTCGTTTTTTTATTAAATAAATAATTTTTTCTTGACAATTTTAAAGCTTAGCACGTTTTTTGTTTTCCGTCCCCGTTTTAGTGCGGCTGTTTCTATGTCGCGTATTTTTTATTTTATTTTTTTTTTTCTTCACTCACGTAGTGTTTTTGTGTTGGTGTAAAATTTGTGTATATTTTTCTGTATATGTGTAGGTATATTTTTATTTTTTTTCCACTTTTTCCTTTATATATTCATCAAGAAAAAATTTTTTCTATCTCATTCCTGTTGTTTACTTTATACCAATGAGAAAATTTTTCTTATTACAATTTTTAAGTTGGTAAAGGGTCTCCCCTTAGGCTATTTAACTTAATTAAATTTAACCACAAAAAAAGCTTGTTTTTTGTTACAAGTTTTAATAATTTATTATAACAATTTAACAATAATATTATTGTTTTTATAACGCGGTTACTCGCCTTTTCTGTGCTGTGCACGACGACCAGAGACCTGCGCCGACAAACATTAACGGCGGCGGATGCTGGCACTTAAAATTTCGGCGGCGGCTTGAAAACGGTTGTAAGCCGGCTAAGTTTTCAGCTATGTTTTTAAATTTTCAAAGTTAATAAATAAAAAGCAAATATTGAAAATTTTTTATAATACTCCATATTAAATAAAATCGTTACTTTATACAACTTAATATAAATAAAACAATATTCTGCTGCCTCAAATGTTCTTAAAAAGAAAAGAATTTGAAAATAATTTTATTTTGTAATATTTCTTTTAATCTGGCAACTCTTGCTGTAAACTGTATTGTTTTTCTTTTGATCATTCTTTTGGTCACCAACAAAATGTGTGATTTACCAGAAAATTTACAAATTAAACGTGAACCATCACCACCTTCTACGCCCGAGGATAAATCTTCTCCCCATAACATAAAGGCTAAGCTAAATTTGCATGTAAAACGTAGACTACAAGATTTCAGTCAAGCAAACACAGCATTGGAGGAAACCTCTTACAATAATAAAACACCACCCGATATTAAGCAAGAGCCTCAAAAACTAGAAACTACCAGACAAAAAAGACCTTATCATAAGAGAACAGATAAACATAAACCCCACACACCGTCTTTGGAAGCCTCAGCGACAACAAATGTAGCAACCTCTGCTGGGCCTCGTAAATATAAACATAAAATCAAGCAAATTGTGGCCAACAATGATAATCAAGAACTAACAGCCAGCTCTAATGCTGCCCTAGAGGAACCTTTAGCAGTTGGTAGCTCTAATACTACAATAACAGCTGGTGCTCTTAGTGCGGGAGATGAAGATGAGGCTGGTCATGATGCAGACTTAAAGGCGGTTAGAGAAAAGGAGAAATGTCCCGACGTTTTGGCCATGGTGTTAAGCATGAAGAAAAGAGCTTTAATGCAAGATCCAGAAGTGCAAAAGTTTTTAAAAGATGTTATGGAAGTAATAAAATCATAAATTTGTTTACAAAACAAGAAAAAATTTGACATTTATTAGTGCTGACAAGTTTTATTTCGTGATACTTATTTTTATAACCTAAAGCTTTTATATATATATAACTTATAACAGAAAGCTTTTGTATATATTATTCGGCAGCTGTTTTCTTTGACATTTCGGCGAGTGGCATTTATTTTTCCTGGCCAATAAGAATTTGTTGAATAATCTTTTTAAAACGATAATAATTAATTAAAAAATGAATAATTTAACAAGATTAATGGCCAATTGTGCTTTACAAACACCAAAGACTTCTTTAATAACAAAAACCTCCGCCTGGTCGGCCTTACAGTTGAGAACTAAAACTAAAGTGGTGGAAAAACCTAAACCAGGTGGCGGCAGACAATTTAGACGTATTGTACACTTTAAAGATGAATACACTATTGAGCCGTTAAAAATAACCCATCTGGCTGGTAGAGATCCTGTGACAGGACGTGTGGTAGCCAAGGGTATTGGGGGTGGTATTAAGCAAAAATATCATTGGATTAAATGGGTACGTGATGGCCCATTGGAGGGACCGGCTCAGGAGGAAAAAGTTTTGGAAATATTAGATGACGGTTGTCGTACAGCCAAAATAGCTTTAGTGGGTGTGGGTGATGAATTAAAATATATATTGGCCAGTGAAAATATGAAACCCGGCGATATTATCAAAACTTCCAGATTTATACCCAGAATACCAGGTAGATATGGTTAATATTATTAAAAAAATGTGCTAATATAAAGTTATTTTCATTTTCTAGTAAGACCCAATGAGGGAGATGCTTATCCCTTAGGAGCCTTGCCGGTGGGTACTAGAATACACAATTTGGAAAAGAATCCCGGTTATCCCTGTCATATGATACATGCGGCCGGTACCTATGGCACTATTTTGCGTAAATTCGATGACAAGGTGGTGGTACAATTACCCTCCAAAAGAGAATTTGCTTTTGATAAAACATGCATGGCCACAGTGGGTAAGTAGTGAGTTTCTTTGTTAAATTATTGAAAACAAAAATTGGTTTTTATTTTATTCAAGGACGTGTTAGTAACATAGAACACAATAAGCAGCATATAGGCTCTGCTCAACGCATGCGTGAATTGGGTAATCGTCCTCGTTCTGGTTTATGGCAACGTAAAGATGGTCGTTTTGGTCGCAAGATACGCAAACTGCCACCTATGACTTTAGTGCCACCACCACCCGGCAAACCTGCTGAAATTATAAAACTTACTTTACCTTTGTAAAATATTTTAAAGAAAATTTATTAAAATTAAAAATTATGTGTTAAAATTTTACATTTATTTGCGTGATTTTTTCATGGAGAAACCTTGGCCTTGGAATGTTTCTTCCGGCTCGGGAGCTGATTCGATTTCAGCCACACGATCGCTTATGGGTTTGATGGTCCGATCAAATTTCAGCATACCAAATTTGTAGTCATAATCTGGAACACCACGAGCCAAAATCTATGGAAATTGTAATGTGAAGAATATGATTAACAGTAAAAGTAATAAACTAACCTTTTTAATGACTGGCGTATCCAATTGTGAATCCTTTTTCTTTTTTCCATCCAGACGTACCCCGGAACCTTTGAAGGTTTCCACTACTTCTTCCATAACATGATCTTGAGGCTGTTCCTCCACCGGCTGTTCTCTTTTGGCAGTCGTAGGTTCTTTGTAACCCACCGGAGCCTCGAATTCCACCTTTAACAAGATAAAAGTAAAGAATTCAAGAAAAGGATTTAGTCATTCATATAAAAGAGAGTCTTACATTCATATCACACTCTATAATGCTGACAGCATTACCCGGTTTCGTTTCCAACACACACAATTCATACACTTTCTTATTGTATTTAATGGCCACCACATCGCCCGTAGTCAAACAGGCGAAATTACGCAAAGCATTTTCCAACACAGCCTTGGGATTTGTTATATCCAAAAAATCTGTGCTATGAGGCTGAAATTTCGAAAACTTAGCCACCGGCAAGGAAACACTTTCAATTGTTAAAATATCTCCCTCTTCCAGCAGCAAATTGTCCATCATCCAATAGGGCAAATAGCATTTACCCTCATCGGCTACAAATTCCAAAACGCCAGCATGTGATGTGCGAGCTTTTTTGTTGTTGATCAACTTAAATAACATGGGATATTCAACATTTAAACGGGTCAACGAATCCAAAGCAGAGGGAGGCATTATTACTGGAAAAACAAAGGAATTATATTACAAATTTATGTTTAAAATTTAATGGGTAATAACTACTTTTGCCACCATTCTCTACATCTTGTCTCTCATTGCCCGGCAGCATGGATACCGAGAAACATTTGTAGGAGGCCTTAAAGTTGCGTCCTCCATCGGGAAACATCATATTAAAACCACTAAACTGAAACTAAATTTTAGGATTTTTATATATTTACATATTTATTATATTATTTTTTTATTAAGATTACCATTTTCGTTTAATTTTCTTTAATTTGCGATAAATTTCTTTAAAAAATACTTAAGTTTTTTTCTAATGATTTCTCAAATTTTCTGTTTTTTTCGTTAGTCTTGTTATTGTTTTTCTTTGTTTTTGCGAATGACGTTTATTTTTTATACAGACAATTCACAATAGTTTTTGCAATTGTCATAGGGTAAATCACAGGGAATGGTTAGCTAACAGCTGTTAGCTACAGTAATGCCAATTGTATAATTCTGTTTACAAAATTTGTTGCTTTTTTAATGAAATAGCAAAATTTCCATACTAAACTAACTTTCCGCTAGACTTTAGAATAGATTAGGGACTTGACGTTAGACTATACTATATACTAGACTTCTTCGATATCAAAAAGAACTGATATGAAAAAAAAAACTTTTGAAAACTTAGCCGGCTTACAGTATCAAACAAATCCGTCAATAAATTTCAACGGCGTAGTTATCACCAGCTGACATTGTTCTATGCAATACAAAGAGAAAAGCGGCGTAAGCATTTTTTGCAATTACTAGAAGAGAGAGTGTTTTTTTTTTATTATACCAACAAATACATGTGTTTTAGCAAAAAGCAAAAGGAAAAAGTACCATTTAAATGTTTTAGTTTCAACTGTGTATAAATCATTCTCGTTTGAGTAACAACCAGAGCCGACTAAGCCTAGCCGCCGAATGTCAAAGCTGCCGCCGCCGAAAATTTTTCAGCTTAATACGGACAGGTGTCTGGTAATTTTTTCAAGGGAATAATTTTTTTTAGGGAATAAACGGGTAAAAACTGTATTTTGGTACTTTTTTCGCACCCCACGTATCTTTTAAACCAGTGAACATTCAAACAATATTTTTGACTTCTTCATAACTTAACGAAAAAATAAAAATATGAATTTAGTACTTTTTGGATATTCGGACGTTTAAGGGGTTAAAATTGTACCTATTTTTGGCACTTTTTTCATAAAACATTGTTTTTGGTTTATTAACTCATACATATGAAGAAGGCCTTTGGTAATTTTTCGTTCTTCAAATGGTACTTTTTGAGTTTTCTATTATAATGAACCTAGAAACATAAAACTAAGCAATCAGGGACTTGAGGAAATGAAAATTTAAACTCAAGTATTTTCTGGTACTTTTTCGTTCTTTAACTGGTACTTTTTGAATTTTCTATCATATTGAACTTAGGAACATGAAATTAAATAAAATAGGTATTTTGATACTTTTTCGTACTTCAACTGGTACTTTTAGAGTTTTCTAAAATATTGAATATATAAACATAAAATTAACCACGCAGTATCCTAATTGAATTAAAATTTAAAAAGGACAATTTCTGGTACTTTTTTGTTATTTTACTAATACTTTTCGAATTTTCTATAATATTGAACCTAAAATTGGACATGCAGCTTCCTGATTGTATAAAAATCTGTATGCGAGGAATTTCTGATTTAATTTATAAAAAGGCACTGTCTGGTACTTTATCGTTCTTCAACTGTTTTTTTTTTTTCTGTAATATTAAGACTATAATCATAAAATCAAACTTATAGAGTTCTCTAAAAGGGGGACTTTTTGATATTGCATTTTATTCCAATACGATGAGGGTAGCAAAGCATACTGGGTATAGCAAGTACATTATAATTTAAATAGAAAAATACTTGAATTGTTAAACAGACACTTTGCAGCACGTTTACATCTTCAAACGTCCAAATAAATCAGCCAGATATTTTAAAATTTCCATTAAGCCACAAACACCAGAAATATTGTCTATATGAAAATGGTCAATATATTTTTTTTCATTTAAATTTAATAGTTTAATAGCAAACAAACCTTTTTAAATCACTTAAATACCTTTTGTTTAAATTTAGAATCGAAAATTAACGGGTTCGCCTTGGGCGAATTTGTATACATACCAATTATGCCATTATTTAAATAAAATAATATTTGTTTACGAGATGCTTGGTATTTTCAGATTTTTTACATAAATAATTCAAAATATTAACAAAGTTTCTCTCCGTTTAACGGACATTTTTATATATAAAAATGTAAAACAATAACAAACTTTGACAGCTACGTAAACCAGCCGAATTAAGAAAAAAATTATCAGCTGATTGAATAACACCACCTTATATGAATTCGCCTTGCATTTAAATGTTTTTCTTTCAACTGTGTAAAAATCATTCTCGTTTGAGAGAAAAGCGGCGTAAGCTTTTTTTGCAATTATTAGAAGAGAGAGTGTTTTTTTATTATACCAACAAATACATGTGTTTTAGCAAAAAGCAAAAGCAAAAAGGAAAGGAAAAAGTACCATTTAAATGTTTTTGTTTCAACTGTGTAAAAATCATTCTCGTTTGAGTAACAACACGTCTAAAACCGCATAAACGTGCTCTACTAAATATATAAAACAAAACTATAAAATACAAAAATAAATTTGGATAAAACACAGAGTCGCGTCAGAACAAAAAAAACTGTATTCCTATAACTTGCTAAAATATAGAATACATCTTTTTTCGGTTTTTAATAAAAAAAAAGAAAAATTACTCAGAAAAAAAAAACTTTAAAACTAAAAAGTGTTTTAAAAGTGCAAACAAAAATAAGAAAAACTAACAGGTTTTGTTAAAACAAGTGAGTAAATTGTTAATTTTAACTAAAATTAAAAAAATTGAAAAAAATCTATAAAGAAAATTCCTTAAGTAAGAGGAGAAGGTGGAGGAGTAGGAGAATATACATATATTGTGTGTGTGTGTGTGTGAAAGTTTTTAAGGGTGTAAAAGAGAAAAGGGCGTAAGAAGAGCCAGGAAAATCCACATTGAATGATTAATTTTAAAATTTATAAAAAAGGAGTTTTCAAAAATTTTGGAAATTTAGCTATTATTCAATCTCCTATGCAAATTTTGGCCAAATTTTATTTTCAATTTCTTTTTATACATATTCAATAATTTTTGCGTTTTTACTTTGCAATATGTATTTCCTTGGCTTTTTCGTTTGTTGTTGTTGTTTTTTGTACAATTTTTATTGTTTAACTACGTCAGTGTTGGAAATTAACATATTTTTTGTTTCGTCTTTTTGATAAAAATCAATAAATCTCTATCGCATTGTCAAGCGGTAAAAGTGGTAAGAGGGGGGGATAAGACAACCTATGAGGCGCCAAACATCTGACGAAATTGTTTAAGAAAAAAAAAAACTTGTCATGTTTTTCTAGCTAGAAATTACTTAACCCTCAAAACCCTTTAAATTTAAACTAAAAATCCTACGAAATTATGCAATATTTCCAAAATTTTGCAATAACTTTGGAATGCAAAAAAAATATTTTCGTTTTTATTTTGTAAATTTGTTTAATGTTTAAAAGAAAATTTCTCCACTTTCCTTTTTCTGTTCAATTCTTTTTTTTTAAATATTTAAAAAATAATTAAAATTAATCTCTAGATTGGGAACTAAAATCCATAATATACCTATTATAGACTAGACTATAGACTAGACTATAGAGTAGATTATAGACTAGACTATAGACTATATTATAGAGTAGACTATAGACTGGACTATAGACTAGACTAGACTATAGACTATATTATAGACTAGACTATAGACTGGACTATAGACTAGACTATAGACTAGACTATAGACTAGACTATAGACTAGACTATAGACTAGACTGTAGACTAGACTATAGACTAGACTATAGACTAGACTATAGACTAGACTATATACTAGACTATAGACTAGACTATAGACTAAACTATAGACTAGACTATAGACTAGACTATAGACTAGACTATAGACTAGACTATAGACTAGACTATAGACTAGACTAGACTATAGACTAGACTATAGACTAGACTATAGACTAGACTATAGACTAGACTATAGACTAGACTATAGACTAGACTATAGACTAGACTATAGACTAGACTATAGACTAGACTATAGACTATAGACTAGACTATAGACTAGACTATAGACTAGACTATAGACTAGACTATAGACTAGACTATAGACTAGACTATAGACTAGACTATAGACTAGACTATAGACTAGACTATAGACTAGACTATAGACTAGACTATAGACTAGACTATAGACTAGACTATAGACTAGACTATAGACTAGACTATAGACTAGACTATAGACTAGACTATAGACTAGACTATAGACTAGACTATAGACTAGACTATAGACTAGACTATAGACTAGACTAGACTAGACTATAGACTAGACTATAGACTAGACTATAGACTAGACTATAGACTAGACTATAGACTAGACTATAGACTAGACTAGACTAGACTAGACTATACTAGACTACATACTAGACTATAGACTAGACAAGACTATAGAATAGACTATAGACTAGACTATAGTATAGACTATAGACTAGACTATAGACTAGACTTTAGACTAGATTATAGACTAGACTATAGACTAAACTATGGACTAGACTATAGACACAAGACTATTCTGAAGTCTATTCTATAGTCCAGTCTATAATTTAGTTTAGACCAGTTTATGGGCTATACTACATAGGTACAAGTCTATAGATTAGCTTTTGTATTAAACTATAGATTAAACTAAAGATAAGACTACTATATATCCATGTAATAGTATCCTTTCTTTAATATTTTTTAAATGTCTTCATTGTTAATGTTTTAAAAATTTCCTTTAACCTATGTAAGAAAAATTTCTTTAAAAATCCTTTCCCTTTACCTTAACCACACGTGTGTTACCACTTTTTAAATACTTTTTCTCCACATTCCATTCCTTTTTTGCTTTTATCCACTCCCACTCTCTTTTTCTTAAAAAAATCCTAATACCTATTTCTCTTTTCCAAACAAAAATTATCTAACTCCTTAAAATTACCAAAACAAAATAATACCTATAAACTTCTCTAAAAATAAAACAATTTTAATTATTCAACTTAATTTCTATTAATTAATAAATAATTCTTTCTTTATTTTTCGATTTCCTTTTAAAAATCGACTCCCCTTTCATTTTACCTCACGTGTATTTATAAATTCTTTAAAATTTCTTACTCATTCCTCATTCTCTCTCTCTTTTGAACACTTTTCCCCTTAATAACCCTCTCACTAATGAAGCTTTTTTACTACATGCGGTTTTTTCTACTTGTTTATTCATAAATTTTTTTAGCTGTTTTATGTTTTTTCTTATTTTCTATTATTTCTTGTTGATTATTCATTTGCATTGTTGTTTTGCTTAGCAAGGACTACTTTATTGTTGTTGTTATTGTTTTCAAAATAAATTGTCTTAATTTTTTGAGTTGTCATTTGTTTTTGCTTGAAGGATGTTGTGGTAAAAAGAGTGTTTAACAAAAAGGGATTGTCAAATAGTTAATCACAGTGAATGATTAGCCCAACAGCTGTTTGCCTTTGTTTGTTTATAAATTTGTTGCTGGTTTAATTTTAATGACAAAAAAGCGAAATTTTAAGTTATTTCACAGGTTTTATTTAATAATTACCACATTTTTTAGTTTATTTAAAAACAACTTGTTTAAAATTAACTTTTTTTAAAACATCTACTGGGTTATTTCTTCCTTCAATACAACAGGACTTTTTTTTTCAAAGAGCAAACTTTGTTTACTGATATAATTGTATCTCTCTTTCTCTCTTAAAATTGTTGCTTTTTACCAGTTTTTTTTTTATCGTGTTTATCTTGTTTATTTATTGTATTTCTACCAAACAGCTGACTTCATTTGCAAACTGTACTAAAAAGAAAACAAAAATTTAGTACAGTTTTTTCTTATTTTTAAAATACACAAAAGTAATTTTATTTTCAATACCTTTTATTTATTCCAAAGTATTCTTAAAAAAAGAGCTACTCACTCAAGTGTGTAGTAATAAATAAAAAATATTCCATTATGAAATTCTTTTTTCTTAATGGTAATTGGAAACCCATTAATAATATTAAAAACAAATTAATCAAAAAAACTTATTAGCTTTAAATGCTATAAATCACAAACAAATTATGCAAAAAAAAAAAAAGATTAATTACATGGCATTTCATCAAAAAGATAAAGACACAAAATTGCTTTGTCATTTGAAAAGTGTTCAATCATTAAAATAGTTTTTTTCTTCTTTAATTCTAAAGAAATTCTTGATGTTTGCCCTTAAATTGAAATAGTTTGTTAAACTTTTTTTTTTTAAAAAAATACCCGCTAGGCAACAAAAGTTTTTAAAATACATAAGTTTGAGAGCATTAGTACAAGTAAGGAAAATTTAGAGGTTTTTAAACAATTATTTAAGCGTTTTTATTAAAAACTTAACATTTTGTTTAAATTTACAAAATTTTCTTAAACATATTTCTTATACCTATAGTCCTTTATACTAGACTATAGACTAGAAGATAGATTCGATTATAGACTAGACAATAGACTAGACTATAGACTAGACTATAGACTAGACTATAGACTAGACTATAGACTAGACTATAGACTAGACTATAGACTAGACTATAGACTAGACTATAGACTAGACTATAGACTAGACTATAGACTAGACTATAGACTAGGCTATAGACTAGACTATAGACTAGACTATAGACTAGACTATAGACTAGACTATAGACTAGACTATAGACTAGACTATAGACTAGACTATAGACTAGACTATAGACTAGACTATAGACTAGACTATAGGCTAGACTATAGGCTAGACTATAGACTAGACTATAGACTAGACTATAGACTAGACTATAGACTAGACTATAGACTAGACTATAGACTAGACTATAGACTAGACTATAGACTAGACTATAGACTAGACTATAGACTAGACTATAGACTAGACTATAGACTAGACTATAGACTAGACTATAGACTAGACTATAGACTAGACTATAGACTAGACTATAGACTAGACTATAGACTAGACTATAGACTAGACTATAGACTAGACTATAGACTAGACTATAGACTAGACTATAGACTAGACTATAGACTAGACTATAGACTAGACTATAGACTAGACTATAGACTAGACTATAGACTAGACTATAGACTAGACTATAGACTAGACTATAGACTAGACTATAGACTAGACTATAGACTAGACTATAGACTAGACTATAGACTAGACTATAGACTAGACTATAGACTAGACTATAGACTAGACTATAGACTAGACTATAGACTAGACTATAGACTAGACTATAGACTAGACTATAGACTAGACTATAGACTAGACTATAGACTAGACTATAGACTAGACTATAGACTAGACTATAGACTAGACTATAGACTAGACTATAGACTAGACTATAGACTATACTATAGACTAGACTATAGACTAGACTAGACTAGACTATAGACTAGACTAGAGACTAGACTATGACTAGACTATAGACTAGACTATAGACTAGACTATAGACTAGACTATAGACTAGGACTATAGACTAGACTATAGACTAGACTATAGACTAGACTATAGACTAGACTATAGACTAGACTATAGACTAGTTACTATAGACTAGACTATAGACTAGACTATAGACTAGACTATAGACTAGACTATAGACTAGACTATAGACTAGACTAGAATAGACTATAGACTAGACTATAGACTAGACTATAGACTAGACTATAGACTAGACTATAGACTGACTATAGTATAGACTAG